ATGCCAGTGATCTGCAGCTGATCTCCCAACCAGGAACTCACAGAATTGGGCCTGCAGTGGGGCCTCCCAGGCCACAGGGTTTAAAGGGCAGAATGGCACAGGACAGTGGCAGGATGTTTACACAGGCACACAAGACCTCAGAGAAGCTTAGGAATGTGGTTACCCGGGAGCGGAAGGGGACACTTAATTAGAAAGGGCTGCCTGTGCTGCCACAACTGGATCTATGTGTTGTTCCTTTAAACTATGATATAACCAGGGGTGGCAGTACATACCTGTAGCCCAGCTCCTCAGGWGGCTGAGGCAGGAAGATGGCTTGAGTCCAGGAGTTTGAGAGCAGCTTGGACAACACAGCAAGATCCCATCTCTAAATAAGTAAACAAATAAAACAGGATCTAAAGCCAATATTACAAAAGTGCTGAGGCCTCTCAGAGCTTAATGGTGTGTCGCAATGGTCATCACATTATTATCATTTAAAGATTGAAATTCATCAAGAGAAGGAGAGGGGCAGACCTGAAAAGAAGGAAGGAAGAGGGAAAATTTAGACACTGGGAATTTGGTTCTTCTCTTTTAAAAGCAGCAGAGCCACAAAGAGATAAAAGGATGGGAAACTGCTAAGAATCCCTGAGGCCTTGGGCTGCCCCAAGGCACAGCTGACCCCTGCCCCTGCTCAATGGGTGCCACCCCTCAGCAGGCCTTTCTCCTCAGTGTCTTCAAGAGAACTCTGACCTCAAGACCCACAGGCCCTTTGTGGCTGTGATGACCAYTCTCTGTGAGTGCAAGGAGCAAGCCAGCAAGAGCCTGGCCAGGTGAGAGGGGGTCTGGGCTCCAGGCGGGAGGGATCGCTGCCCCTGGGGTGCTGGCGTCTGCCTTGGAGCCCATCGCCTGCTTGGATTTCAGGTTTGGAGTGCAGCCATGCCTCATCTGCCTGGGAGATGCTCAGGATCCTGTGTGTCTGCCCTGTGACCATGTGTACTGCTTGCCTTGCATCCAGATCTGGCTCTCCAGGCACATGACCTGCCCCTGCTGTTTAACTGTCCTGCCAGAGGAGTTCTCTTTGACAGTTTCCCAAAAGCACAGGTAAAACACTTTTCTCTTTAAAAGTCTTCCTCTTTTTTTCTGTTCTTTTTTCTCAAATATAATATTCAGAAATTCAGTTTCTATTAACCTCCACCTGATAAAAGCCTGGCTTCAGAGAACTCTCTGAAGTGAGACTCCCATTTGGGTATCTCAGAATTCCTCTCCCCAAGACACACGTGTCCCTCAACATTCTGAGACAGCAAAATTCAGAAACTCATAAATGAAGCCCTTGAAAGAGACCCAAGAAACTTAGATAGAGCTTTTCTGTCCTCCTTTTCATCTGAGTGTTGTGTTCAGGGGTGGACTCCAGGCCGTGTGCAGGCTGGGCAAGCAAGCCCTCTACCATCGAGCCCCACACCTACTCTTGCCCAGCCTTTGGGAGGTGCGGAAGACAGCTGTGGTGCTGTGGGCTTCAGACCGTGGTCGTGCCCCATCCCTGGTGGCTTTGCCCTCTCTTTCCTCCCAGTAAAGGGTTCTGTGACAGGCTTTGCCTGGTTCAATGATGGAGGCGTTCCTGGAAGAGATGTGTGTAGAAACTCTCTGCAGTTTTGAAGACAAGCTAATTAACAGAAGTAGACACTTGCATCTGTTGATGTAAAATGAGTTGCTGTCTGAATCTCAAATCATTCTGCAGGCAGGGATTTGGGAACACTCTCTGAGTCCTCTGACTGGGTTCTCACTGTTTCCTCAGGGTGGCCATTGGGAAACACGCCCAGTTCCGGCAGATGTGCAACAGTTTCTTCATGGACCTGGTTTCTACCATGTGCTTCAAAGACAGTACCCCTCCTCAGAAGAGGGTGATTGATGAGCTGCTGTCTCTACTCTTTGTGCGGAAGGAGCTTTTGAGAGATGCTCCCCAACGTGAGTTACTTTTTTCCTTCAAACCTTGATTCAGTTCCTCTCTGTTTTGTGCCATGATATGAGCAGTAGCACCTTTCTCTTTCTGTAAGGATACCGGGAACACACCAAGTCTCTCTCGCCATTTGATGATGCTGTGGATAAGACTCCTGTCGTCCGCTCCGTGGTGCTGAAGCTGCTCCTGAAGTACAGGTGGGAGCGGCTCCCTGAAGGCACACTGTCTGAGGTCTTTTCTGGGCTGGGCTGGGCGTGGTCTTTGTGCTGCCACATATCCTAGCTCATGATCTGGGAAAGTTTCTTCAGTGCGAGGAAACCTGGTCTCTGTTGCTTATGTTYAGACACTGAACCCTGTGGGCACGTGAGTTGGGCCTTGCCAGGGTCCGGTACAAGTAAGAAGACAGAGTTCTGGGAAGGACCCTGGGTGTGGTGAAGCATGCAGAACCCATGCATTAGGAATGGTGGTTCTGACCCTAGCTYCATGGCCACCCCAGGGTGTGATTTGCAGGGTGGTAATTCAGACTGTACCTTAGCCTCGGTGTCCTCCAGGTCAAGATTCCACAGCAYGTGGACTCTGTGTTTTCTCAGTGAGACAGGCGGTCAGTGATGGTCAAGCATGGTGTCCTCTGGCTGATCCTGTGTGTTCATTGAGCTTCAATTCTCAGCGTGCTGG